TGGCTATTCGTACTAGACTGCTGAAACTGCTGAATTGTTGTCTGGCATATTCCACAATTTAACATGCAAAGTATTTAATGTCTTCTCATTTTCACAGTCAGAGTCTTATTTTTTTAAGTAATAGGATTAAAAGCCATTTATTTCATTACAGCTCTTTCATCATCGTGAAGCTGCTTGGGGAAGGTGGATGAAAATGTCTGTTTCCCCCCATCCATCCAGGCAGTACTGACACCAGATGAATCGTTTCCCAGTAATTCAGAGCACAGGAGTTGAAACTGAGTTTTGTACACTCATAAAAAGACTGTGAACAGCCTGGACAAGGAATTGGTGGGGCCGAGGCGCTGTAGAGTGATTTGGGAACGCGGTGCTCCCTCTTGCACAGACGTCACTTGGGAGATGTTATTGAAGCCTCTCGTTCTTTGAACTAAAATTCACCTCTGTGCAAGTATAGTGTGTGTCCTGTTTTTCTCAGTTGGAGCTGAGAAGTGTGTAGGCCTCAGGTGAGCTTCTGATCCCCTCATGATAGCGAAATCCAGCACTCTGAAGCATCTCTTCTTGCAGCATATGTGCATTCTTCTCTCTTGCTGTCCCTAAAGTATTTGGGCGGATAAAGTCTTATTATTGAAATGACAGTCTAAACATCTGGAAATGTTGAAATCAAAATGCTAATTGAATATCTGTCTCTGGCCTTAATGCTGCTCAAGTAGAACATTTCACCACAAAGTCTGAAAAATGCACCTAATGCAATACATTTTTAGCGGCGAAGAATTTGACATGACTGTCATGCCTCATTCTGGTTTTTTTTCAAAAAAATGCAAAATGGTGTATTTTCTAAGTCATTCTCCAACATGACAGGTGAGTAGTCTCAGAATCTGTTTTAATATGTATTTACAAACCTGAGTAATTAAAACTCCACTGGGAACATGCAGCACACTAGTTCACAGAATTTTCTTCTAAAAGTTTAATTTGATACCTAAGAACCCTGTTAACACTTTGAAATCTCCATTTTCTATGCTAAACCATTAGTGAGTAAAACATTTTGACTAACAAACACATTGAGCTTAGTGAAATTTTCATGCATTTGTAGTCATCCACAAAACCAAAGAAGATTTTATGTAGGTGGTCTACTTGCCAATTGACTTCTCCAGTTGTTGTCATGCTGCATCTGCTGAATTCTCAGCTCGTAAGATAGCAGGGCTTATGCAGTGATGCTCTCTGTGTCCATCTCCTTTTAATTCTCACTTCCCAGTAACTTTTGAACTCTTAAGCTAATTTCAGACAAACCTAACAGAGAGGACTGACTGATCCTGCAGATGATTGTTTCCTGTAACTTGCATTAAAACAAGCAGTGGGGCAGGGGAGAAGTAGGGAAAGACAACAGTATGAGGTTTGGTTGTCCTAAACAAACAGCAGACAATCCACATGAAAGACTAAATATTTGAATTCTTTAAGCATGGGAAAGGTTTCTGTAGGGTGGGAAAACAACTTTTACTAGAGACTGCAAGCCTGAGAGACAGACCCATTGAAAACCACACAATAGTAATTCCTCTGATTATGGAGGCAGAAAGAAGAACCAAGTAGTTCCTTATTCCTAAGATATGTAGAGAAGCTATTCCTGTAGGGCATACTTCCAGGCAGTTATTTCATCCTGTAAGCAGCTGATGGTAAAAATGTCTGTTGCGTAGGATCTAACACGTAAATGTGGTTCTGTGTTGAAAGCTCCTGAAACTGAATTGACATCACATTTGTTAATTTTCTCTTTATATACCTAGTGCCACAGTAGCTGTGGTTAGCAGGGAAACGAACATCTACAGACCAGAAGATTATAGTTGCCGAAGGATAAACTGGATTTGACTTCATTAGTGCACAAATGATAAGTTTGTGAGGAGTTATTATAGCATTAATCAACTTGATGGATTGGAAATATGACAGAACTGAAGCAGCGTGTAATATTAGTGCCTATTATTCTACAAATTATGTCTTCACCTACATTCATAAGGCAAGAGTCATTGCCGCACATTAAAGATGTTACACACTTTCTCCTCTTGTGGAGGCATGTGACATCCCTTCAGCGATTCCTCCCCCTCTCTTCCTCCAGTGGGGCTCTGGTCTTCCTTAGTTGCATATTTTCACCTTACAACTAATAGAAGGTGGTTTGGGAGCTGGGATTTGAATTTAGCTAGCACCTGATGAAACTGGACCTCTCATGTAGCAGTGCATATTTAAACTTCTTGCTCCATCAGAAAAAAAATAAATTTCATATTCTAAGCATCTTGGGAGAAAAAGAGTGAGTAGAAATTGAAAGATATGGGACAGATAGTGAGTAGATATTTAATTCTTTGATTCTAGTGAATTGTGCAGGCTTTGTGTATATACCTCTGGTGTTGTCAGAACATGATCTGTCGTGTGCAGTTCTGAATGCATGCTGTGCAGAGTACTTTTTCTAGGATATGAGTAATACTATGTGAATCTTAGTGTGAAGTTGATTGTTTTAAAAGCCAGCCTGTACGGTGGCAGCAAAGACAATTATCTTTTATCTGGTTTGTGCAAAGAACTTAAGGCCTCAGTTCAAGGCTCATGAGCATGTGTCCATCTCATCCAAACATGGTCAAAATTGTGACCTCCCTCTGGAGACTGTCAGGTGCCAAGTGCAGGGGGTATTATTCATTCAGTTTCTTAGAACTGCTGAAATTTGCAGTTTAAAGTGTACTAATAATAAGCCTGTGATTTCATGTGGCTGTTCATCCTCGCTTCATTTACTTTTCCAAAGACATATATTAGTACACAACTAAACTGTGAATGAATGAATGAATGCAAAGACTTTAAACTACCCATGTCCTTTTCTTCCCTTAAGTTGGGTGCATGCTTCTTCTTATACGAAGACTGTGGGATAAAGATTTCATATCATGACTAACAAAATTAAAATCAGCAGATACAGTTCATGAAAAGCCATATGTCATCAGTAGAATGTGGAAGGAAAATTTAAGGGAAACAATTTACAAAAAAATATTCTACTTGTGTTTTGGTTTATAGCATGGATATGGCATGCCTTAGCAGCAGTGTAGTTTTGGATTCTGTGTGCCAAGAAGCTATTTCTCTCTCTCTCTTCGACTACATATAGCTTAGTGCCAAGATCAGACTGGGATTAGTGTTTTAATTTCTTGAAATATACTTAGCTCTTTTATTGGAAAATGAAAAGTTCACTTGACTTTTGTGGGCCTGAAATAATGCGTGTAAAAGAAAGCCACTTCCAGATTGGGCTGGAATCCAAGAATTAGATATAAATCTGACATTTCAGTCTGAAGAGGATCTGGCCAAAAGTTTCAGTAGAAATGGGCCCATGCAGTTTGAATTCCTCCATACCATTTTGGGCATGTAAAAAGGATGTTTTCACTGGCTGGCTGGAGTGTTTACAAGATTGGTGTAGCTTCATGACTTAGTTATTTCTGTTAGTATGTCAGAGTCCAGCACAAATAAATTTGTTATAGTAATAATATTCTTAATTTCCTCATTCCATTTACTCATGCAAGACTTCAGTGGACCTGGAGAAATGTATGTTAGATAAATAATTTTAAACAGTTAAGGCTGTAGTACCGCAGATGCTATCTTAGTCTCTTTTTATTTAAAGAAGTAAATGTACTTCCACCTCAAGAATTTTTACTCCAGGGCAAAACTTTAATGGAGGGGTGTAAAACCAATAACTGCTACAATAAAACATAAAACATTTTTTCATGACACTTACATGTGATTAGTTGCTTTCTCATGCCCATACTAGTATAGCTTTGATAGGCTCTGTGCCGTAATGTTAGAGGTAGTGACCTTTGCAAAACTGTATACAGTGTTATAAGCTTTACAGTTCTATTTTACTTCCATAAAAATTAATACTTCATGAGTATCCAAAAAGAATGATAGTTAGAAAACTGCATTTTTTTTCTTTGAGTTCTGAGGGCAAAGAAACAAAGAATGACCTTATTGAAGCCAGAGGCATATTTCTGTTGGAACCACATATAGTTATTTATATACATTATTGCTTTAAAAAAATATTATGTGATTAGAGCATTAATTTTGTTTACAAATAGCTAGTTTGGGTAGGATGCATGGTATGAATTGGTATTTAAAAATAGATTTTTAATTAGATATTAACAAGGAGTGTAATGGAGACAAAACAATGTGATAACCTGTTATCTTAATGCTACCATTAACAGTAAATCAGTACTGATTATTATTTTTGCCTTCCCATAAATTCAAGTGGTGTATGATTAAGTGCAATGGTTCTCAGCTAGAAGCTGTGATTGTCTTTTATTTCCTTGCCTTTTTTTTTTTAACAACTGTTCAACTGTTTTGAACAAGTGATGATGCAAGTTTTTTAATGCATATTGACATTCCCATTTTAGGGTTGACCAGTACATCATTTGAAGTAATAGCTAGTCCCAGTCATCCTGGTGGGTAGGTTTCTGACATGCCTGAGCAACTGGCTTTGTGGGGATTATATAGGACCAGTGAGTACACAACTTTAAAAGGCAGAAAGGTTTTCCATTTCTCCAAAGAATTCTTCACACATGGTTTTGGAGGTTTGTGCCTCTCTCCTCTGGGTCCTGTTCTGTTCTTTGCAGAATTCTTTGTTTAGTACCTTAATAAATAGTTGTTGTTGAGAGTGGCCAGAATTGTGACAGGAATGTGCACAAGGATGTCTTTATGGTGGAGGGAAAATAGCTGCTTTAGCTGCTTGAGAATTACAAGGCCATTCTGTAACATAGCTTGAATTTTAGCTTTTCTTGTAACATTAAATTTTTGGACTTAGTTTTCTGCTCTGTGTTGTCCCTCTGTGAGCCAGAGAAAAGTCTGGGAGAAGAGAGTGACAGTGGGACTTTTTTAGGGCAGGTTAAATCCTGCGTCAGCGTCTTTGCAGTTAGAGTTCCTATTCTAGGTAACGTGTTCAGTTAGCATCTGCAAGCACATTGTTGTTTGTCTTGCTTAATTAATTCATCTTCTTTCCACAGCCGCAGAGCCTTGGCCTGAAAATGCTGCGTTGTATCAGCAACTGAAGGGTGGGTACCCTGTTTTTTGCAATTAATAATTACTTTATATTTAGAAAACACATTAAATATGCACTAAGATAATTAACTGCAGGGAAGCACAGAAACTGTTAGGAGTCCTTTGTGTTGTTTATCTGGTCAGGGGTTTTAGCTACGCTTGCATCTGCCAGTATAAACCAGCTATTCATGGCCTATAAGGTCCTTGGTTTATTATTGACTCATTATATTGGCTGCTGTAGGCAGTGTAAAATGATGTGGTTGCAGGCACAGTTGGCAGATTTACTGCACCAATAGCTGAGGCAGCAGATTTTTGAAGTCTTGTGGTAAAGTGGGCTCTCAGTAAAAAGGAACTGTTAAAATGTATAGGCTAGGATGGTTCAGGCTCCCTTTAGCAGCTCTTCATATATCATCAGATCACATTATGGCCCCCATTTGGGGCTCAGCAGCCTGCTACAGTTGTCAGAAGACTGCAAAGTAATGAAGACTAATAGGTAGCAGCCCTAGTCTTCTAAGCATGGAATTTTTATTGCAGTGAACTTGTCATCTTTCTTTTGTGTGACAGACCTAGACATAGTGTGCAATATTAACTGCAAGCCGCTTTTATAGGTTTCTGAATGCTTTTACTTTTTAGCCAGAGGAGTTATGAAGATGCGGCTTTATTTAACTTTGATTAGAAGAAGAGTAATTGGCATAAAACTCAAGCATTTGGTTTTTAGTTGTGAGCATTTTTTATTGTACATCGTTGGTAATGTATGATAAATGCAATTGCATTTGCAGGAGAAATATTCCTGCTATTCTTTTTTTTTTTCTCTTTCTTTTTTTAATATTCATATCAAAGGTTTTCTAGTCCAGCTGCATAATAATTATATATGTGCTCCTTGTTTTATGCGTGAGAAATGCAACCCAGAATGAGTTACAGGTCAGTAACTAAATGGGTACTGTCTTTTGTAATTGTGTTTTTTGTTGTTTTTTTTTTTCCCTTCAACAGAGGAACAAATTCTGCTTTCTGATAATGCATCTTCCCTTGCTGTTCAGGTAAAATGCATATTTTCTAAACTAAAGATGTTAATTTCGTTTTATTTTTTGCATTATTAGTATCTAACTAAAGTAACTGTATTTAGCTAAATGAATAATTTAAGAATTATTTCTGTCAAAATCAGTGACTTATTTCCTGCATCTAATGTGCTTTACATTGAAGTGCCAGAGCCTAAAGGGCATGAGGATTTTGAGAATCTTATATAGAGTGCTGCTGCTCGTACATGTATTTATATTGGTCTATGTTTGTACAGTATCTGCTTGTCTACCTACTCTGGGAACTGTGCATAGTTCCCATCGTTTGTCACTTGGTATGCTAGTTTCTCTTGTAACATCTTGCATGGTGCTTGCTGGTTATTTAATTCTCAAAGTTAATACTGCCCCAAACTCGAGGTATATTTGCTTCATGCTGTGGGCATCAAGATTTTCTATGTCTCTGATAGGTTTTCTCAATTTCTTCATGTATACGGAGTTGAGATCCAATGTGGTTTTTAGAAATAGTCCATATAATTGACAAACTTGCATCTGTAATTGACTTAAAAGCACCTCTGTGGTGTGAAGTCTGTGTAAACTCCATTAATGTGTTAGGTTCAGTAACCCCAAATCTCGAGGGGATGTTTTCCCCATTAGTAGACAGGGCCTGGCTGTCAGAAGTGATGGCAAGCAGGATGTCTATAAGGTTCTTGTTCTTCAAAGCAACTTTGCTGCTGCTTTGCATAGTACAGAGTTGCCCTCTTCCCCTGCTGCTTGCTTTTTGTGCGTGGTATAGCTCAGAGCAGCTACACCAAGAAGCCTTGGAGAGATGTCCAAAAAGGTGACGTCTTATTTAGCTGAAGTGGGACACTTGGAGACGGTAACTGACATTACTGGTAAAAAGGTTAGGATCATTTGATCATGGTACTACTTCCAGGACTTTAACTTTTTTCCTTCTAGTCTGGCAATCTAGGAAATACCTCTAGGAGTAAATTCTATCACAGCAAAAAGGTACCTTTATCCTTTGCTGGAAAGATGAGTCATCTTAGATGTACCAAATAAATGTTTTTTTGGTGGCAGTGTTTATTTGCTTGGGTTTGTGTTTTATATTGTGCCTCACAGTGATGCAAATAAGTGTTTTTGTTGCTTACTTGATCTCCATGTTCCTTTTTACTCCAGCAACTATACTTTTTGTGGTTCTCATGAATTTTCTTACCATCTAACAATATGTATAGGTGTGGCTTGTATTTGAAACACAAATAAAAGAAGCAACAACATAACCCTAAAATTTCCTTTTCTAATGCATCATTTTGCTTTACTGTTTCCAGTCCATTGTTATCCTACACATGTCACTTAGATGATAAATTAACTATAATATATTAAAAATGCTTGTTTTTCTTCAATATTCTCTAGCTGGACAGCTGATAGTAGCCATGACTATAAATATGGTTCTGGTGGATATCTGATCTTAAACTTTATAGAACAATTTTGTATTGGGGAATCATATCTATTTTGAAGAATCTGTGTAACATGGTTATGACTGCAAAAGAATAGCTATCCTTGGTGTCTTTGATGCATTTTGAAACGATACTAGCATCTGTAGTTGTGTATTACTAGCTTAATGATTAGAAAGCTTTAAATATACTGGTGTGTTTTGCATAAGTAAAATTGTCGAGTTCCTCTGTTTTAGAATTTACTTTTTATTCTGATGAGAGCCTGTTTATCTTTTTAGAGATATCTTTTCTTTGGTTTGTTTTTTTCGGGGCGAGGAGTTTCTTTTCCCGAGGAAGAAATGGGAACGGGTAATAGGAGGAGAAATAGGAGCTGGTACCTGGTACTTTTTTCCCCACTGTTTCCATTCCTTTTCCCCATGTTACTGATTTGGGGCACATGGATATCACCAGAGCTTGTTTGTGGCTTGTTGAACTTCCATGTGGTGAAAACGCATCAGAATTTTGAGTCCCTTTGATCAAAAGAGCACATGGAGTCAGCCGCCATCCTTTAAGGAACATGGTTCACAACAAGACTCTAAATGTGCTGTAACTGGTCTTTCAGATCTTTCTCAAAATCTCCTTATAGCACCTCATAATACTGCTCTGGGATAACTCTCAGAGGACATAAATGCAGATAGCTACGTATAAAATAAAGAATAAAATCGAATGCCATATTAAGTAATTAGAAAGAGTAAAAGTTGACTGTTTTACAATTGCCAACCCTGCAATACAGATGGCATTACATGTACCTCTTCTCAGCAGAGCAGACAGCAGAGCAAGTTACTCTCAGAGAAGGTGTTGCAGGCATTTTGAATTAATGAGTAGTGAGGGCTGCAGACTGGACATAGGAAGTTGGTTGAGTCTTACCATTTTAATAATGATTGGACTTAAGACTTCTCATTGTGCAATGAAATCTGGACTCCTGACTATAAGGGGGAGTGGGATAAGAGAGGGGAGGACAGAGTCTTCTGGGAATTGCTGAGTAGCTCTGATGGTGCCTTCAATAGTTAAAATCCAACCAAACCAGCAAAAAAAAAAAAAAAAATGCAGCTCATCTTGTGGAACCTCTCTACTGATTTTGGTAGGGTTTGTTTTGTTGTTTGTTTCCTATTCCTTCTTCTGCCCATTGTTGCTCTTGGAAACAGACTAAATTATCAATTCCTTTGTCTTTTACTGGGTTCAGATTCTTTATATTTGCTGAAAATGCAACATAACTTCAAATTATCTAGTGCATTATTTCTGGTCCATCTTGGCGCTTGCACTCCTTGTTTGTTAACTTGAAGTAGCATATTATATGGTCCTGTTGAAAGTGAAGCCCATTTGATCTTAGGCTGCAAAATCTTGATATTGAATGAAGTTTTATTTTCAGCGCAAAAAAATTAAAATAAAGGCAAAATACTAATCACTAATGGTTATCCAGCTACAGGAGAGAGAGCATTGTACATAGAATGAAGGCTCTGTTCTTGTGAGATGTTCAATCCTGTTCTCATTAAAGTTAATGAAAACACGTACACTTCCTGGGTAACATGACTCACGGTTAAAACCAATCTTCACTTATTTATTGTACAGCTTCCATTATACAGCATTCCTGCTTAGCAGTCTTATCATAGTAAAAAAAGCCACCAAAACCCAGAAGCGAATACACAACTATATTTTGATAGCAAAACAGCTCCACAACTTCAAGGAGGGAAAAATGGAGTTTTAAATGGATTAAAATGGCATTACCACAGGAGGGTATGTTTCAATTGAAGCAGAGATCTCCTTGCTGATGCCTGGTGCAGGTAAAGCCTTTTTTGTTTAGTGCCGGGGTGGAAGTTGTGTGGCTGAGTAGGAGGGAGGGGGTTAATACAGCTGCGCTGTGCCAGGCCTCCTGCCTCAAATGGCAGCACAGAGCATCTCTGAGCACTGCTCCGACTTGTTGGGAGGAGGAATGTGGATCTTGAAACTGCCTCTGTTGTTACAGGTTCTTCTGAAATCTTTATGCAGGTAGTCTCAGAGTCTTGCTTTAAAAGGCTGTCTAAAGTCTTCAGGATTGTGGAAATTCTCATAGCTATCCTGAGGTTATAGAGCCTGCAGCTCATTATGTTAAGATATGTATTAATTGCTTGTGAAATTGATGTCCTTGTAAATGGTTTTAATATATTCCAGGAAAGTGCATTTAGAATTGTCTGTTCTTAGTCCTGAATGACAGAAGGATGTTTGGGCAATTTAAAATTGTGTTACACAGACCAAATGCTTATTTACTTCAACAAGTAATCAAATAAATGTGTAAATCATGCATGATTAATTGCCCTCGACAGATTTCTGATTTTTTTTTTTTTTTGGTGTGTGTATGAATTGTGGTTTGGTTTCTCTCTAGACAAAACATTAGCAGAAATTTGAACTTGTTGCTGAGGCTTGAACAAAGGCTTAGTACTGAAATGAAAATCTGACAATCTCTTTTTTTTAAAGAGAATAAAAGCTGGAATTCTTCACCGTGAGAAATGCATTATCAACATAATCAATCTAGCAGCATTGGTTGTAGCTGAAAACATGCTTAAATCCCAAGCCATACAGGTACTGTTTGTGAGTGAAACATATTTCATATAGTTATAAGATGAAATTACCCCTGAATGAATAGCATCTTCATTTATCTTCAAAACCGCTGTGCTACCAGTGAGTCTACTCTTTCTGCATTCTACAACAAGAATTACATTATACCATTAGAGCAGTATTGTGCTGCAGCGTAAAATAGATTGTTTTGGAGAATGAACGTGGCTTTGCTATAAATTACGTATACAGGTACAAAGGAATGTGTTATTTTGTTTAAAATAGTCACAAATATAATTAAGCTCTTAATTTATGTTAAACTACAAATGTGGCCATTACCATAACTGGATTAGGAATTTAATCTGTCACTCAAAGAATGATACGGAACAGTTTTCATTTATAACCTTAGACACACTATTTCAGTTACAGGGTCTGCAGCTGTTTGATATGAAAACTGAATTATTCTGTAGATTTGTTCATGGTTTTTAATTTTACAATGTGTTCCTGCAATAAAGTAGAGAAGAACTCTTTAGTTGTCATCACATATTGTCCTTTGTATGCTCAAGAAATAATGTAAAAATGAAAACAGAAAACGCCTTTCACTCTTTCTTCATAACAGTATTGTGCGAGTGCTTTTAGAAGTGCTGCTGAATAAGAGATGGCTTGGAATGGCTTTTTCTTTATTAAAAACTAATCATGAATATATCTTCTTCAAATGAATCTTGGAGTGTGCCATCTGAAAATAGTGTTCCTCATGTGGGGACGTAAGTTGTGAACTATTTGAGTCTTGGCATAAGTAATTTCATTCTTGCCTCTGATCTCAGAAACTGCAATCTGGATATGATTTACATGAAGTTGTAACTCATTTTTAATGAGTATATGTGTTTGCCCATATGTATTATTCAGAGAGGGGAGTGGAGAGGAAGAGGAGAGCGTTGTGATGGAGCTCTGACAGGCTGATTCGCTGCCCGGTGTGTGTTATGTTTCCAGCTGACAGTGTCCAAA